AAAAAAAAAAAAAAAAAAAACCACATTAAAAAACAAACACTTCCTGGTATTTTGTTCTAAAAGGGGGAACAGTGAGATGCACCTGGATTTGCAGTGGAAATGAAGCCTATCATGTCAGAAGAGAATGGGATCCAGTGTACAACTGGGGGAGTGGCTCTGGAGCTCCTCACCTCTAAGACCCATGTCAGCAAGTCTTTCAGAGCCTTCTGACGGACATCTCCTTGCCAGCGGGTGACAATGAACCCTTCCATGCGGAGTTGCTGATAGATGATATTCTCTGGGGGTGGGCCTGTGAAAAAGGCGGACACATTTAGGTGCCAGGGTCCAGGGAGGTGGCCGTGGTGAAAACACAAGCAGGATAAGTCACATCACTGTTCTAGATTTCTCCACTCTTTTCTGATCCACGAGGTTGTCCAAAAATCAACATGCCCTCTGTGGTAGACAGAATAATGGTCTCCACAGGTGGCCATATCTTAACTCCCAGAACCTATGAATGTGCTTCCTTACATGGCAAAAAGGACTTGGCAGACATGATTAAGTTAAGGGCCTTTAGATGAAGAGATTATTCTGTATTATACAGGTGGGCCCAATATAATCACAAGGGTCCTTGGAAGGGATGCAGAAAAGTCAGAGTCAGGAAAAAATATGTGATGATGGAAGTACAGATTAGAGTGAAAGAGAGAGAAAGACAGACTTTGGAAGATTCTGTGCTGCTGGCTTTGAAGATGGAGGTAGGGACCATGAGCCACAGAATACAGGCAGCCTCTAGAAGCTGGAAGAGGCAAGGAAACAGACTCTCCTCTTGAGCCTTCAGAAAGAATTCAGCCCTGCTGATCCATGTTAGACTTTTGACCTCCAGAACTATAAGGCAATAAATCTGTGTTGTTTTAAGCCACTAAATTTGTGGTAATTTGTTACAGCAGCAATAGGAAACTAATACACACTCAGTCCTTGCACAGGCCAGGAAGCCAGGGAATGTTCAGCCTGCACATGCCAGAAGCAAGGCCCACCAAACACTGCCCAATGGCAGTCCATAGAACAGTGTTCTATGGAACAGAAGTGGGTCCTGAAGATAACGTGAAAATGTTCCTGTGCTAATCAACCATAAATACCCTGATATTCCCGACATGTAGAATGTTCTTTTTCAGAATCACATGGAAGGCTTATGAAAAGAGATTGCTGGCCCCTCCCCCAGTTTCTGATTGTGGCTATGGAATGGGTCCCAAGAATCTATATTTCTAACAAATTCTCAGGAGATGGTGATGCTGTTAGTCCTGGGCCCACACTTTGAGAACCACCAGCCTAGAAAAAGTACCAGCCTACTCTGCAGCCTATCAAGAAGGTAGTACTCAGGGCCCCTGGGTTGCTCAGTCAGTTGGGCATCCAACTTCGGCTCCGGTCGTGATCTCATGGTTCATGGGTTCGAGCCCCATGTCGGGCTCTGTGCTGACAGCTCAGAGCCTGGAGCCTGCTTTGGATTCTGTCTCCCTCTCTCTCTGCCCCTCCCCCACTCACACGCGCGAGCGCGCGCACGCTCTCTCTCTCTCTCTCTCTCTCTCTCAAAAGTAAATAAACATTAAAAAAAAAAGGTAGTACTTTTCTGTGTGAGAGAGAAAAGGTTGTGTTGGTTGCCTGGCTTATTTTCCCAAGGATCCTGAGTGACCAGAAACTGAGGGAATGACACCTGAACATAGTCTTAAAAGTTTCAGTAAGTCAGGTAAACATGCCCCTGAAACCTCAGCACCAGATGAGCCAAGGTGACTGGCAGAATTTATTTGCGGCATCCTTGATAACTGGCATCGCTCAAGCTGAAAGTTCCTACTCCCTACTTTGGAGAAAGTCACATTAGCAGTCAGAAAAATAAGGCCTTATCCTGAACCAAAAGAAACTGGTGCAAGAGGAGTGAGATATGAGGGTGACACAAGACAGCAGCATGTCCAAATGTCAGGTTGCCCTTGCAGAGAGGGTGCTTCTTTAGGAGATGCACACCAACCATATTTCTCTTTAGGTTAAGAACTGGAATCCTCATTTCCTCATCTTGGGAGAGGATGAAATACCATTTTTGGGCTTATCCACCCTGATGGGAATATAGTTTCTTTATTGGGAGCAAGAAGAATGTGGCATTTGAATGTGGCATTAATGCTGGGGCAAATAATTACCTCTGAGCTATCCTAACAGTGATATATGTTAGAATTTCTGGAGCTCAGAGGAAGGGCAGGATCTCATCTAAAATGAATGGACAAGGCCAGCTGACGTCTCAAAGACCTTCAACTTCCAATCTAATTGCTAACAAGACAAGATCAAGTTACTGGACCCAAATATTTGGCTGTACCTTATTGGACTATGGTCAAGAAAATGCATCCTGGTGCTTTGCTCAACGGACAGGCAGAAGATTTCCCAGGATTCTAGCTTAGCTTCAATTAGAAAAATAGAGGGGGGAAAAGTCCATAGCAATAAGACTGCCAAGTGCACCTGGAGTCTTTTTGGAGATGGTAGTATCTTTGATTTTTCCCAGCCCAAGAGGGAGTCTGCAAGCTGTCCTTTCTCAGTCCCTTCCACTCTCGCTCACCTATCTCAGTGCAGTTGTGGGATTGTTAACTAGCAGGGCTGTAGGGTTTCATTCCCATGAGTGAAGCCCATCACAGAAGCCAAATTTATTTATGGTTATCATCCCAGATCTTGATGATAATCTCTAAGATTCCTTTTGCTCTTTTTTTTCTTTTTTTGGACCACAGGTCAATCTATAATCTCACCAACAGCACAAAATCGTTGTAGTAGGAAAGGACTCTGTACGAGGAGTGCAGAAGGCCTGTCTTTGAGTCTCTTACTAATAGGATTTAAAGAGCCTCTGGCCTTCTTGCCCATTCATCTCCCCATTCATAAAACAAGAGGCCTGCACAACATCTCTCAGAGAGTTAGGATTTCACAAATAGAGTTCTCTAGTTGATACTGCTTTTAGACCTTTGTGGGTATAAAGAGGGCAGAGGGCAGGCAGTCTCAGCATAGGAAGAGTGGAGAAGTGGAGATGGATGCACAAAAGAAACAAAATAAGGACAGTCCAGGAACAGAGGGGAAATGCATGCTCCTCTCCCTTTCCATGGAAATTGTCAGTCTGGGGGAGCCAGTGTGTCCTGAAGCTCTAGGAGGCACTGCCCTCCACTGTCGGAAGGAAATGGCGGCCTGCTGTTTGCTTCACCCACATTGAGTCATCCTCTCCAATCCCCATTCCTCCAGCAATGTTCTGAATATCCTAAAGAACCCTGATATTGCACCAGCCAGGCCAAGGTGTTCTGTCTCTAAATCAAAGCATGGCTGTCTTTTCACAACTTTGCCCAAAACAATAGGTAAACAATTAAAACTTTTAACAATTATCAACAGTTCTTCCCTATTTTCAGATTCTGTTATTTCTCTATATCAAAATCGAACATAAGTTATTTAGCACAAACATATAAAAATACATAGTTTTAGTTTAATAAACACTACTTCATCAAGAATATCAGGAAGTCTGGGGAGCCTGTGTGGCTCAGCCAGTTAAGTGTCCAACTTTGGCTCAGGTTATGATATCACAGTTCGTGAGTTCAAGCCCCAGGTTGGGCTCTATGCTGACAGCTCAGAGCCTGGAGCCTGCTTCGGATTTTGTGTTTCCCTTTCTCTCTGCCCCTCCCCTGCTCACACACACACACTCTCTCTCTCTCTCTCTCTCTCTCTCTTTCTCTCTCAAAAACAAATAAACATTAAATAAATTTTTTAAAAAGAGGAAAAAGGAGAAAATTATTTTTTAATTATTTTTTAAAAAGAAAATTATTATCAGGAAGTCTTTTTAATATTTTGATAGTCACTGGCCTATATACCATATCCGTGAATTTTCTCCTTTCCAGTCTTTCTACATCTGTGGTCGTGTGCATGAGCTCATTACCTGGGGGAAGTGGGCGAGTAGTATTATACACAGAGATGGCCCCACAAATAGCAATCCTTCCAAACTTCTTCATCTGGGGGATAACAATGTTTGAAAACTCTCCACCTACCTAAACAGGATGAAAAAACAAAAAACAAAAAACAATCCACTTTAATCTGAACACTAGAAGATTCAGGAGAATCATTAAGTCACAATTACCATTTCATAACATTTATTTTAGAAGGAAAAAAATCAGACTGAATTAGCACAACAGTGCAGAAAATTGCACTTGAAAGGGACATGTGAGGTTGGACATTTCTGTTTTACTGTAGGAACGTACCATATATAACTTATACATTTTACTTTATTATATTTTGGGGTTTTCTGACCAGTTCAATAATCTCTTTGCCCCTATCTAAAACCATGGAAAAAAATAGTCGGAAGACACATCAAGAACAAAGTTGGAAGACTCATATTTGACAATTTCAAAACTTACTACAAAACTGTATCAATCAAGACAGCATGGGAGCAGAAATATAGATCAACAGAGCTAAGTTGTGAGTCCAGAAATAAACTCTGACTTTATGGTCAATTGATTTTTGACAAAGTCCCAACACAATGAAATAGGGGGAAAAAACAGTCTTTTCAACAACTGGTGCACAATTACTGGCTATGGTAAAGAATGAAATTGGACCCCTCCTTACACAATACATAAAAATTAACTTAAAATGTATCATGGGCCTAAATGTATAAGCTAAAGGCATAAAACTCTTACAAGAAAACATAGGAGTAAATCTTTGTGACCTTGGATAAGGTAAAGCCTTCTTAGACATGACATCAAAAGCCCAAACAACAAAAGGAGACATAAATCAGCCTTCATCAAAATTTAAAACTTCTACAGGGCTCCTGGGTGGCTCAGTTGGTTAAGTGCCCGACTTTGGCTCAGATCATGATCTAGTGGTCTGTGAGTTCGAGTCCTGCATCAGGCTCTGTGCTGACAGCTCCGCGTCTGGAGTCTGCTTTGAACTCTGTGTCTCCCTCTCTCTCTGCCCCTCCCCTCCTTGCGCTCTGTCTCTCTCTCTCTCTCTCTCTCAAAAATAAATAAACATTTTTAAAAAATTTAAACTTTTGTGCTTCAAAGGACACCATCAAGAAAGTGAAAGAAAAGAAAAGAGAAGGTGAAAGACAACTCACAGAATAGGAGAAAATTATTGCAAACCATATTCAGTCAATCCTTATTATTGGTATATTCCGTAGTTGAGAAAGAGACTACTTGCTAACATTTATTTATATCCCTCAAATCAACACTCACAGGGCTTTCCTGCTCATTTGCAGACGTGCCTAAAGCAGTGAAAGATGCACAAAGTTCCCAGCTAAAGTAAAAAAAAAAAGTTGAGGTTCTCTCTCCTTTTTTCACCTCTCCCAGAGATTACCAAGGGGGGAAGGCAGAAGGGCACAGTACAGAGTAGTTCAAAAAGCTCCAGCTCTGGGGTTGGTTGGATGGGGTCTGAATCCCAACTCTGGGAGGATCAGTTTGTGGGGCAGCCGTAGGCAAACTTCTTAACACTTCTGAACCTCCTTTTCTCTTTTAAAAAATGAAGAAAAGAAAAGCTGTAGGAAGAGTTGTTTCTAGGATTTAAGATTGCAATGGAGGTAAAATATATACATGTATGTACATACTTGCCCTAGAAGCAATGCTCGTTGTTCGTGGTGACTTGATAGAACATAACTACCAGGAATACTGAGAATTGACTGTATCTGATGAGGGACCTATCATAACTCTTATAAAGAACTCTTGGGTGGGAGAGAGCCAAAGCATAAGAGACTCTTAAAAACTGAGAACAAACTGAGGGTTGATGGGGGGTGGGAGGGAGGGGAGAGTGGGTAATGGGTATTGAAGAGGGCATCTTTTGGGATGAGCACTGGGTGTTGTATGGAAACCAATTTGACAATAAATTTCATATATTAAAAAAAAAAAAAAAGAACTCTTGGGGTGCCTGGGTGGCTCAGTTGGTTGAGTGACCGACTTCGGCTCAGGTCATGATCTCAAGGTCTGTGAGTTCAAGCCCCACATCGGGCTCTGTGCTGACAGCTCAGAATCTGGAGCCTGCTTCAGATTCTAGGTCTCCCTTGCTCTCTGCCCCTCCCCCACTCATGCTCTGTCTCTAAGAATAAATAAACATTAAAACAAATTTTAAAAACTCTTAAAACTCAACAAATTGAAAAATGGGCAAAATATCTGAGTAGACGTTTCTCTAAAGAAGATATATAAATGGCTCATAAGCACATGAAAAGATGCCCAATACCATTAGCAATTAGGGAAATGCAAATCAAAACCACAGTGAAATACGACTTCAAACCAACTAGTATAGCCATAATCAAAATGATAGTAAGTGCTGGCGAGGATGTAGGGAAATTGGAACCCTCATACGCTGCTGGTGGGAATGTAAAATAGTGCAGCCATTTTGCAAAATAGTTTGTCAGTTCCTCAAAATGTTAAATATGGAGTCATCACATGATACAACAATTCTACTTATAGGCATATACCCAAGATCATGAATGTTCACAGCATTATACGTAATAGCCAAAAGGTGAAAATTACTCAGATGCTCATCAATCGATTGATGGATAAATAAAATGTGGTATATCCATACAATGGAATATTATTTTTCAGCCATAAAAAAGGAATGAAGTACTGATACATACTACAACATGGATGAACCTTGAAAACATGCTAATGTACAGTGTAAGAAGCCAGTCACAAAAGGCACTTTGGGGGGGAAATGGGTGGTGATTCATTGTGGTGATGGTTGTACAATTCTGTGAATATGCTAAAAACCACTGAATTCAACACTTCAAAATGGGTGAATTATATCTCAATAAAGCTGTTTATTAAAGGCATATGTACTTTATATATTTTAGATGGAACTCTAGAAGGCTATTCCCTTGTATAGTACTTTGTTAGTAAATAAGATATTAAGTCCATTTCGTGCTTACGTTATCAAAATAACAATCGTAACCATCAGGAGAGGCTTTTTTCAAAGTTTCTTCCAAAGACTCTACTGTTTTGTAGTTAAAGGCAACATCATATCCAAGCTTTTTAAGGTAGGCAACTTTTTCATCAGACCCTGCTGCTCCAACAACTTTGCAGCCCTAAATGGGGAGAAAAAAATGGAGACCATTTATAAGCCAAAAGCATGGACTAACTCACCTTCCTAGCCTAGTATGGTCAGGTTCCCCAAGAACACCCTCTTAGGTGCTGAACCACATACATGAAGATACCATAATGGGCCAACAGACCCATAGGTGAAATTGGTCCCTGAATCAGCCTACAACCCAACGTTAACTTTAGCTTGTCTCTGACCAACCAACAGATTCTGGTCTATGTTTATGTGGTTTACAGCTCGTTTCAACTTACTGACTTGACAACCTATTCATCTGACTCTCATTTCTTTATTTTGGGTCTTCTCTTGCAGTGACTTGCATGCTATCTTTTGGAACAGTGGTGCTTTAGACTATAATTTGGGCTCAGCTCTGGAACTCTCAGCCATCTTGTCACTTCTCCTGGTGACTGCCCCTTTATTATTTGATTTGGGCTCAAGCATTGGACTAGATAGAACCTGTCTAATCATACCATAGAGGAACTGGAGAGCATTCTGAAAAGCACTTTCAGGATGAGCTAGAGATTGTATTGGTACACAGAGAGTAGCACTTCAGAAATCTCTCTTGCATTCTTAATGTATCTTCAACTTCCAAGCAAGACCCACTAAACAAAACTCCCTGAGATCAGAGAAGGTCTGCTCTGTTCACTGTTGTATTCTCAGTGTACACTGTGGGTATTGAGTAAATGTTGGGTAATGGAAGAAGACACTTACCTTGAGCTTAGCTATCTGGCCCACAGCAGAGCCCACTGCTCCTGCTGCTGCATTAACCATCACTGTTTCTCCACCCTTCACACCACAGATGTCAAGTAGGCCAAAGTAGGCTGTTAGCCTGAGGGAAGAAAATTAAAAATATGTGGGTTGATTTGTGGCTTTCTCTTATAAGTTGTTCAGATATATCCTGAAGGCCTTCTCAACAGCCCAGTGCCATGGGTCCAATAAAAGACAGAAAATATAGGAATTGAATATTACCAGCCACTAATGGTCCACCTCCTCCTTCCTCGCTCCTAGATAGGAATAAATATGATGGGAACCAGAGAAGAAATGGAGAGTTGGTTGGAAAGGCGCTGCACCCTGTTTATCCCTAGGCCAAGTCTCAAGAGCAAAAGAAGATTCTAGGACTCTGGGGGTCCTAGAATAGAGGGCTTGTGCCTCATTCCTATATACGCCCTGGGGAGATGGTGAACTTCATGGGGAAAGCCTCCATGTCATCATGGTGCCATAACCATAGAGCAGATGAGAGGATCCAAGAGAAACACCTTGAGTTTTCCATGGCTCCTAAGTGGTATGGAAGAGCTTCTGAAATTTCCCCATCTCATCCTAAGTGAGATGTTGAAGTTAGCTTGCAGGGAAAAAACTATGGGGTCTGCAAAGATGCAGCTCAGAGAGTACTGACAAGAACTGAGTGAAGAAACCACCAGCTTGGATGGCCAGCTTGGAAGGGGATGTCACTGAGGACTCAGTGGGAAAAGTCACACTTTGAAGCAGGAGAACAGCATAAGACTAAGATAGATCAAGACCAAGAAGTTATTGGGGCACCTGGGTGGCTCAGTTGGTTAAGCGTCCAACTTCGGCTCAGGTCATGATCTCACAGCTCATGAGTTCGAGCCCCACGTTGGGCTCTTTGCTATCAGCAAAGAGCCCACTTCAAATCTTCTGTCTCCCTCTCTCTCTGCCCCTCGCTTGCACTCGCTCTCTCTCAAAAATAAACATTTTTTATAAGTTAAAAAAAAAAAAAAGATCAAGAAGTTGCTGTCGCCCCCCTGTTGACATGGAATCTGTTAGCCTTGGAAGCTCTGCATCAATCTTGGGGAGAAGAAAAAGAAAATTCTGAGTTTTGAACCTGAACAATGTGAGAAATCACTAAATTAAACTGAGGCTCTGTTTTACTACACAAGCCAAGATGCAGGCTTGGGATAGAGATGAAGTACAGCAATAGAAAAATTTTTGAGTTTTATAATCACGCCCCTGAGTCTGAGTCAAAGAAATCTATATCCCCTGTGGCAATTGCTAAGCCACTTGCAAAATTTCAGACAAATTCATGTAAAGTTGTTTCTATAAGAAACAAACTATACATTAGCCTTTGCCTATATCCGGGGACCCATTAGAGTTGGACATTAAAGGCAAGGCAGTGAAAGGCATAGAAATCTACACATTTTCTGAGGATCCAAAAGCTAATATTCCCAGTAATTTTCAAAAGATGAATGGAGCACCATCTGCCTCAGAATCACCCGGAGTTTTATTAAAAATTTAGATTCCCAGTCCCCACCTCAGACCCACTGGTCCAGAAATACTGGGACATGAACATCTGAATTTCATAAGAGTAGGTGATTCTTAGGAATTTAAGCAACTGAGAACCACCACCTTAATGAATGCCGAAACCAAAGCACACTGGGTGAGCTAGCATAACCTCAAAAGAGAAGCAGAAGGTGCATTTTCTGATTATATCATTCCACTCATGACAATCGTTACCACCCCCCAACCCCGATCTCCCTTCTAGAAACCCTAAAATCACCTCTCAATTAGACATACTGCCCTAGAAGACACAAGGCCTCTCCCAAACATCATATCCTTTTAGAAGTAAAATGGAGAAGCCAACAGTAAAGCAATCTTAGAGGAAAAATTAAAGGTACCTTTGGGACTAAGGGGGGACTTAACATATAACAGTTTGGAGAGCAAAACACATGAACTCCTCCAGCTTAACTGAGAAAACAGAGGTCCACTGAAGGAAATAATGCAAACCTGGAGGGAATGCTAAATCTCTGGAGCCTGGACAGCTGAAAGGCACCCTAGGTTTCAAAGTTCAACTTCTTTTTTTTTTTTTTTTTTTTTTTTTTGAACGTTTATTTATTTTTGGGACAGAGAGAGACAGAGCATGAACGGGGGAGGGGCAGAGAGAGAGGGAGACACAGAATCGGAAACAGGCTCCAGGCTCTGAGCCATCAGCCCAGAGCCTGACGCGGGGCTCGAACTCACGGACCGCGAGATCGTGACCTGGCTGAAGTCGGTCGCTTAACCGACTGCGCCACCCAGGCGCCCCACAACTTCTTTTTTTATAATGTTTATTTATTTGTTTTGAGAGAGCGAGAGAGAGGGGGAGGAGTGGGGAAGAGACAGGGAGAGAGGCAGAGAATCCCAAGCAGGCTCCACACTGTCAGCAGAGATCCCCACAGTCTCACAAATTATGAGATCACGACCTGAGCCAAAATCAAGAGTTGGACGCTCAACCCATTAAGCCACCGAGGCACCCTAAAGTTCAACTTCTTTTATGGTCTATAGCAGAAGTTCTAGCACTCTTGAAGGGCCGACCCATCCCACTGGTAAGTAGTCCAGAAGGCGGGAATTGCTCAAAGAATGGGCAGTGTGTCACTAGAGAAGGTTAGAAGCATGGGATAATGCCTCTCCCTCAATCAGTGAGAACCAATGGTATGAAGTTGATTGTTTATGGAGTAAAAATGCACTCCTTGGGGGTTTGGAACAGGGTGAATGAGAAGTACACACAAATGAGTAAGTTATCCTCTGTTTTAGGATTCAAATCTCCTAATATTTTACAGATTACTTTCTCCCCATCTAAGTCATGGGAGACTTGCTCCAAGGTTTCCTCATGTCTGCCTTCACCCCTGCATTCCTACACCTGGCTCACAACTTAGAACGACAGGTGGGATAACAAGGTGGGAGGAGAAGTTCTCCCTCGTAGAGGTTATGGGGCAGGTAGGCAGGACCTGGAAGTGCTATAATTCTATTCAGTGCTTATTTGAAAGTAAGAAGGGGGCGCCTGGGGGGGCTCAGTTAAGCGTCCCGCTCTTGATCTTGGCTCAGGTCATATCTCAAGGTTCGGGAGATCAAGCCCTGTGTTGGGATTCTCTCTCTCCCTCTCTCTGCCCCTCCTCTGCTCATGCTCTCTCTCTCTCTCAAAAAATAAATAAACTTTAAAAGAAGACTAAAAAAAAAAAAGCAAAAAGGTATTAAGCACCCTATAATTTCACATTAATTTCAACATTGCCTCTTGGTCACAGCAATACTAAGGAGGTCATAATCTGAGTGCAATATGAAGTTGGGGTGTATGGGACTGGTTTTTGCTAGAAGCTGATCATGTGAGGTATACATATCCAGTTCATTCTTTAGAAGTCCTTCAAAGTATGAAAAAGAAGGAGGGAGGGAGGGAGGAAGAGATCAAATAACTTAGAGAAAGAAAGGAAATACATGAATTTCAGGCTAAAAAAGTTTTGGGGGATTCCAAAAGGAATTCAATTGACCTTGCTTCTCCAGGCCACAAAAGGAAATTTGGAGCCTAAAGTACAGCTGAGATAGGATGAACTGACCAGGAGTCTTCCTGAGGGACAAGGCCAAAGGACTCTTGTGGAGTTTAAGTCTGTGCCAGCTGAGTGACTGTGCAACCATACTTGTGATTCATCTCATTTAAACTTCAGATCTCTTTATACCTCAGGAGATTCAGATGTGCATAGGGAAAGGTGAGGAATGAGAGACAGCGCAGAAAAGCCAAGGTATATTGAATTCTCTTCCCCTTTTCAAACTCTGAAATGGAGACAGAGACCCTGAAGCCAAGACTCTTCCAGGGACAAAAGGAGCTGGTCCCTTTGTGTTACCATTTGCCAGCTGCTAAAGAGGGATCATGCCCCATGCTGCTTCTCACTGCCGCTCTCTGGTTCTGAGGGTCTCTGGCTGGATTTTTCCCTTTCTTTCCTTTAGTCCAAGGCCAACTCTAACCCATCTTATTCCCTTCTCAGTCCCACCATTTACTCTAACCAGCCCCTGAGCCTAGAATGTCTTGGGTCTCTTCTTGTTGACCACATTCTAGACAAACTATTTTGGAAAACCAGAATGTCAGATATTCAAATAAATGAAACATACCCATGAAACTCACCCTGTCATGCCAACTGTTCCCAGAGCCAAAGACACTGGTAATGTGTCTGGCCACTCTGCAGGCAGTTTTTCCAGATCTTTCCCATCAGAAATGGAGTGAGTTGTCCAGCCTGAAGAAGCCACTACCATAGTTCCTGTTGGGAAGGCTGAGTTTTTACTTTCCACAACTCTGAAAGATAAAGCACATTAAGATGTGGGAAACCTCTTTTCTTTCAAGGGAGTTAGGATGCTGCATGGTTAGTATTCCTAAAAGGGCATGGAAGTTAATATTCCATGATTGAATACCCCACCACATCTCTCCATCTTATTCCTAGCCATTGGTTTCTCCTCCTCCTTGAGAAAAAAATATGGGCCATTAGGGAGGAACTCTCTGAACTGGTTCAACATCTGTCTCTGTCCTCACCCACTTCTCTTTAAGCAAGAGGTGTACATCCTCTGGTTCAAGGTGTTCTGTTCTGTTCTTCAGGGGCCACCCTCCATCTCCTAGCCCCTCCTCTCTCCTGAATATTTAACATTGTCCTCTCCACTGCCCCCTTTCCCTTTTATATTCAAACTTCTTCACTGCCCAATCACTTGACAACCCAATGCAACATGGCCTCCACCCCTGTTACTCCACTAAAGTCACAATTTCTGATTGCAAAATCTAGTGGACACTCTTCACTCATCATCTGATTTCACCTTTCAACTGTATTCAGCACTCTGGGCTACCCAAACTCTTCTTCATTGGTTTCCACAATACTGCCTTCACTGGGCTTTTTGCCTCTCCCTCTAAGCTGCTCCTTTCCTGTCTCATTTGCTGATTCTTATTCTCCCATCTTCTCCCACTGTTACCATTTTTTTTTTTACTGTCTTTCCCTTGATCATAAAATTATGTAACACATTTATTTTAGAAAAGTTATAATATATAAAATAAAAAATCAGTTCTAATCCCATAATACAAAGATAACTGCTAATATTTTGGGATATGTTATGGCAATCTTAATGATATATTTTAAAATGTGTATTATAAGAATGCAAACTGGTACAGCCACTGTGGACAGAAGTATAGAATTTCAAAAAATTAAAAATATAATTACCATATGATTCAGTAATTCCACTACTAGGTATTTACCAAAAGAATGGGAAAACACTAATTGAAAAAGATATATGAACCTCTATGTTTACTGCTGTACTATTTACAATAGCCAAACTATGGAAGCAACCCAAGTGTCCTTCCATAGATGAATGGAATAAGATACGCGCGCGCACGCACACACACACACACACACACACACACACACACACACACACAATGGAATATTCCTCAGCATAAAAAAGAATGAAATCTTACAATTGCAACAACATGGATGGATTTACAGGGTATAATGCTAAGTGAAATAATAAGTCAGTCAGAAAGACAAATACCATATGATTTCACTCATGTGTGGAATTTAAGAAACAAAGCAAATGAACAAAGAAAAAAAAGATACAAACAAAAAAATAGATCCTTAAATATAGAGAACAAACTGATGGTGCCAGAAGGGAGGTGGGTGAGGAGATGGGTAAAATAGGTGAAGGGGGTTAAGAGTACACTTATTGGGGGGCCTGGGTGGCTCAGTCGGTTAAGCATCTGACTTGATTTTGGCTCAGGTCATGATCTCCTGGTTCATTGGATTGAGCCCCGCATTAGGCTCCATGCTAACAGTGCAGAGCCTGCTTAGGATTCTCTCTCTCCCTCTCTCTGCCCTTCCCTGCTTGCTCTCTCTCTCAAAATAAAGAAAAAAATTTTTTTTTAATTTTTAATATTTTTGAGAGAGAGAGAGAGAGAGAGACAGAGCACAAGCAGGGGAGGGACAGAGAGAGAGGGAGACACAGAATTTGAAGCAGGCTCCAGGCTCCGAGCTGTCAGCACAGAACCTGACACGGGGCTCAAACCCACAAATTGTGGGATCATGACCTGAACCAAAGTCAGGTGCCCAACCGACTGAGTCACCCAGGCCCCCCAAAATAAATAAAATTAAAAAAAAATTTTTTTTAAAGGAGTACACTTATTGGGATGAGCAATGAGTAATGTATAAAATTGTTGAATCACTATATTGTAACTAATATAACACTGTATGTTAATTATACTTGAAAAGAAAATAAGTGCATTTTAAAAATGTTTATTATATATATTTACATAATTGAAATCACCTTATGTTTTGCAAGCCAGCTTTTCTCTCTCTACACTAGCATATATGACTTATACTTTTTCTCATGTTAGTAAGAATCCTTTAAAAATTGAAATGAATTTCAGGGCGCCCTTCTGGCTCAGTCAGCAGAGTGAGCAACTCTTGATCTTGGAGGTGGGAGTTGGAATGCCACGCTAGGTGTAGAGATTACTTAATAATAAAATCTAGGGGCACCTGGGTGGCTCAGTTGCTTAGGTGACCAACTTTGGCTCAGGTCATGATCTCATAGTTTGTGAGTTTCAGCCCCATGTTGGGCTCTGTGCTGACAGCTCAGAGCCTGGAGCCTGCTTAGGATTCTGTGTCTTCCCCTCTCTCTACCCCTCCCCTGCTCACGCTCTGTGTCTCTCTGTCTCTCAATAATAAATAAACGTTAAAAAGAAAAAATTTTAATAATAAAATCTAAAAAAAACCTGAGATGAATTTATTATACCAGTATTAGACACTTAGGTTATTTCCAGTATTTTCTAAATTATACTTCAATTAATATTCGTAAATATGAATTTATAATTTTCCTAGGCAATATTTCTATAAATGGAATTACTAGGTCAGAGACTATTAAAACATTTGTTAACTCTTGTTGCATGCATATTGCCAAATTCTTTTCCAGAAGGTTATGCCAACTTTTGCTTCCACCTTCAGGGTATAAGCGTATCATAACAACATTTCCATCCCTCAGTACTGTCTGTTGTTCATATACAGTACAGTATGTTGTTCATATCTTTGATCATCATATACGACCTATATGAAGAAAACTGTTAATGGGCCATAAGACAAAGATGGATAAATGGAGAGGTATACTTTGTGCCTGGAGAAAAATGTACTAAAGATAACACATTTCCTCTAAATGAATCTATAAAGTCATTGAAATCCCAAAAATCCAAATATAATTTCAATAAATGGTGTTATAACTGGCTTGTCACTTGGACATAAAGTAAATACTTCACCCATATTCCAAAATAAAAATTAAAGGATCTGAAGATTTAATTATAAAAAATTAGCATATAAAATACCAGAAGAGAGGCACCTGGGTGGCCCAGTTGGTTAAGCATCCAACTTTGGCTCAGGTCACGATCTCATGGTTCATGAGTTTGAGCCTGGAATTGGGCTCTTTGCTGTCAGTGCCAGTCCACTTAAAATAAAATAAAATACCAGAAGAAAACATGAATAAATATTTTAGTTATTTTGGAGGGGAGGATGCCTTTCTAATGATGAAATGAAACCCAGAAGCCACAATTACAAATATTAATAATTGTATCACATAAAAATTTTAAATTATGACTGGACACAGGGGAGAGATAAAGATAAAGACACAGATATTTGCAACACTCCTATTCCTAACATATAAAAAGGCTTGTACAAATCACTAATAAAAGATAAAAAGACCTAAAGGAGGAAAGGAAAGGACATAAACATAATTCACAGAAAAAAATTGATAATTAATTTACAAAAAGAATGTCAACATCACTAATATGAAAGAAATGGAAATTAAACTAAGCATGAAGTATCAACGTGAATTCACCTCAGATTGCCAAAATTGATGGTAAGCAATGGGCATTTATTTGGTATGAGAAAGGTTCTTTAATACTATCAGTGGGAGTGGATATTCATACAATATTTTTGAAGAGCAATTTGACATTAAATCCTCAAATTAAAAATGTGCATCTCCTTTGACCTAGAATTTATGCTTCTGGGAATTTAATGTGAAGCAATATTTATCCAAGTAGGCAAAGAATACACAGACATGCACATAAAGATGTACGTATATTCCCTGCAGAACCATTTGTAATAGAAAAAAATAGGAAACATTTGCTATCAGGAATAGATTACTTAAATGACAGATAACAGTGGAATAATTTGCAGCCATTAAAAGGTAGGTAGTATATTTATATACTATCAACAAAAGATATCCATATTAAGTGAGAAAAATAAATTTGCTGAAGGGCATATAATACTGCTAGTTAAAAAAATTATAGACATTGGTTTGTGTACTGAACAATTTTTGAAATAAGAATACATTAACAATAGTCATCTCTAAGGCTCAGATGATGGAGGAACTTTCAGTTCCCAAAATAAAAAATTGTGGTTCATTGGAATTTTTACTATAGTCATAAACTGGACAAATGCAATTTTTTAACTAATTAAAAGCAAGACTAGCAAAGTGAAATTGCAGTGATGACAATCTCACAGTCGTCCCTCCCCCACAGGAAAGGGGCAAGATGTCCCAAGTTGCTTCCAAGGTCAGTGAGTGAACCATACAGGCTGAAGAAACTGTAGGGGCGATGGACAGACTCAGGACCCAACAGAAGGTAAAAGAGAGATGTATTTTTCAAGCGCTGGGACAAATAGAAATACCTGGCCACTTGCTGCCCCATCATCGTATCACCCTCCTTCAATCTTTTGGCTGCCACTCTGGAAAAAAAAAAAATTCTTAATACATAAGAGCATCAAGGGAAAACCATCTTGAGTTTCAAGCCAAATGGAAAATCAGTGGGAAAGTGTGTGCTGATACATGAAGGTAATATAACTGGGTGAAATGCGGGAGAGCTGCTAGAAGTAAGTAGTTCTGCTCTGTGACCCCAAAGAAGCATTCTGATAGTATTTTTCTGGGAAATGAACATGAGAATCTTACCATCATATTCCACTGGGGTTGAGTTTCTACCAATGACTTAAAAGATGACAAAGACACCACTGGGTACTTGTTACTCAAATCACAAGCTGTGATATTGTGATTTAGAATTAGAATTATTATATTCTGTCTATATCCTGTTTCTGGCAGAGCACCTAAACCCCTGGGATTTCCTAATTAATGAGACTGATAAAGGTATCTTTTGTTATGTTAATGAAGTGACTTTTGGAAAGCACCTAAGGATGGGAGCTGGTTGCCAGAACCAACCATGTGATTAGAGGGCTGTAACTTTCATTTCCCTTATCCAGATCTCAGGAAGGGGAGAGGGACTAGAAGTCAAATCAGTTGCCAATGGTTAATGATTTAATCAACTGTGCCTATGTAATGAGCCTTCATAAAATACGTTCAGAGAGCTTCTGGGCTGGTGAACACAAGGAGATCTGGGGAGAGTAGTGCCCTTGGAGAGGGCATGGATGCTCCTTACCCCTCCCCACATACTTTGCCCTATGCATCTCTTCCATGGGACTTTTCCTGAGTTATATATCCTTTTATAATAAGCCAGTAATCTAGTGAGTAAACTAGCTTCATGAGTTCTATCTATGAGCCACTCTAGCAAGGAAGGTGTCGTTGGAAACTCCAAAGTACAGGTAACAATGTGGACTTGAGTCTGGCATCTGAAGTGTGTGGGGGCAGTCTTGTAGGACTGACTCCTTCACGTGTGGGATCTGACACTATCTAACTGTAGGTACTGTTAGAATTGAGTCGAATTGTAGGACACCCAGGGGTTATCAGAGAATTGGTTGGTATTGTGGGGGGAAAACCTACAAATTAGAATTATTATTGCAGAATCGTACTCGCCACACATAAAGGGATGCTAGTTAACATTTTGAAACATTTTTTACATTAAATTTGAATCTCTATTGATCAGCTCTGAAAATCATTTTAAAGAATGATGACTACATTATTTACCTAGGCAAAAACCACTGAGAAGTTAGTGCCCCATAAAGGCCTTTTATTCCCTCCCCCCTCAAATTGTTTCCTGAGTACACACATTTGATTACAGGAATACAGGTAAATGGAAGTCAAGAAAACCTTATTTTAGTCTTACCATCTTCCTCTACACAAATAAGTGCCAGTAGTAAAATGGACAAATTGGATTTGTCTTAATTTTTTGGGAAGCAATTCTGATAAGCAATTTGAGGCAAATTGTGTACATTAAGATAGGAGATGATGGTAAAATACAGGGCAGGGTAATCCCTCGTCAACCTTCTCACACCTTTGCTGGCAGAATGAGCATCCATGAATCTTATCGCTGATATTATACTGGAACAACAGGGGGAAATGACAATCAGTTGGATATTTGAAAAGACGGACTATTTCAGGGGCGCCTGGGTAGCTTAGTCAGTTGAACATCTGACTTCAGCTCAAGTCATGATCTCATGATTTGTGAGTTCGAGTCCCGCATCAGGCTCTGTGCTGACAGCTTGGAGCCTGCAGCCTGCTTCAGATTCTGTGTCTCCCTCTCTCTCTGCCCCTCCCCCGCTCGCGCGCGCGCGCTCTCTCTCTCTCTCTCTCTCTCTCTCTCTCTCAAAAATAAATAAACATTAAAAAAACATTATAAATTTTTAAATTAAAAAAATTAATTAATCAATTAACTAATTAAATAAAAGATGGACTATTTCAAAACAAGGTCCCAAACACAATACATGAATTTTTAGGAGGAAAATAATACCTCATGTAAGGATCCACAGTGAGGAACAAAGCTTCCAGCAGGACCTCTACAAAATAAAGCATTCCATAGGCAATTAGATACTCAACACTCGATGCCTTCCTTGACTTTGGCACTCTAAATAAACACAGATAACCTTTCTGCTTCAAGGTTGCCCTTCCATCAGTACTTTCTATGGAAGAGACAAGAGGGGCTCTCACATTTGGTCCAGCCCAGATCATCATCATCATCATCACGTTATTTACTCAGCACTCCATGCTTTACATGGATTATTCTAGATGATATTCTCAACGATTACTGTTTTCATTTTATTTAGGCCTAGGTTAAGGAACTTGATCAGGGCCACATTTGTAATCACTATGTTACAATGATCATATAAGGTTTCACTAACAGCCCCCATCAGTATTAAAGAATCTATATTCTGTTGCAGTGACCTCATGCACACATTCTCTGGAATTTTGAATCTGAGTCCTGGCTACCCCAATTTAGATGGGACTGAACTTTGCCATGCTATTTGATTGCATGTCCTTTTCTCAAAGCCTGCCTACCTACCTGTAAACACCTTTTATTGTCTGTTCTACAAAGCTAATCTCCAAACATGTTATGGCACGTGCTGCCATTTCTCTCCCCTAGATTTCTTTAGGTTTACCTTGTCCTTTCACTTTCCCTAAGGGGATGGGAGACTCTTCAATGAAGGAAGAGGGTTTATCCCTCCTGTCTGTGTATAGGATAATCTGAGCTTTGCACACAGCTGCTAGGTATTGCTTTCCCCACTTGCTTACCCCATCATCAGGCTTGCCAGGACAGAGAGGAAATCCTCCCCAGAGTCTGGTCAAAGTCATGAACAATGTATCCAACCGTGAGTTTCAATTATTCAGGAAATCAGAGGGATCCCACATGACATGAAGGCTTCACACAAGAACACCCTGAAAAAGTCTCTGTGGCAGATTGCAAAATTGTCACAAATGCCTCCCATCTCTTTGTGTGGGGCCTCTTTGCCACTCCTCCCAACAAGAAGTCTATTTCTCAATCCTTGAATCTGGACTTGGCTAATGTGACTTGCTTTGCATATTAGCAAACATGATATAACTTGAGGCATGAAAGTACTTGCACATTGGAGCCTGCCAACTCCTACTGTTCTAGATCAATGAGGCCACTGTGAAAACAAAGAGCTCAAGTCAGCCTACTAGAAGAACTGAGACACACACCTCAGCAGAAAGCTTGCTAACCACCAGACATATGAGGAGGGCCCATCCTACATTAAACAGTCAGCCCAGATGAGACGTGAAGAGTTACCACCAACTTAACCCAGCCCAAATTGCCAACTCACAGAATTGTGAGCAAATAATGATTGCTGTTTGACATCACTAAACTTTGAGGTACTTTTGTTATGAAGCAAAGGCTAACTGATACAGTATTTTCCAACTCAAATCTTAGGACTTACCTCCATTGTTTAAGGGTGGGAGTTCAACTGTTTTCAGCTCAAAGTTACCATGAGTGGGGCTGCCTTCGAAGTGCTTCTTCAGGGTCCAGCTCTTAGCATAAACCATCCTGAAGTTCCTGGAACACAGTAAAGATGTAGTCAGCTACCACGAAGTGACTGGATTATTAAGACTTCCTAGCCATTGCAATGAAGACAGGAGGGTCTACTCATCATCTACTTCTCTTCATTATCATTTAATACCAACCACATTTATTATTTATTATATTTCCATTGCTGTGCAAAACACTTCAAATGCATTATCTCATTTTATCCTCCTAAGTTCCCTATTAGATAGGCATTGTCACTGCCAGTACCAATGAGGAAACTGAGGCTTCCTCAGAACTCTCCAAGGCAAGGGAAAATGTAAACCAACACAGAAATTCTTCTCAGCTACCGCTAAGGTTTCACCAGGACACTCAACAGCCACCTCATGTGCAAATATTCTGTTTCTCACCTCACATAGAGCGAATCCTGAGAAAGAGTGTCAAACACAAAGAACCGAAGGGAGGAACACTCACATCTTTCAGCCGGATAAAGCAACGTTCTAAGGCAAACAGTCTCATCCTGCTGAACACCACGGCGTGGCGCTGCTGCTCTGCTCAGTGGTGAATTTACTCTGGCACCAAAAGGGAAATCCAGGGTTTAAACTTGCCTTCACAGGGAACCAAGAGAGATGATCCAGGCTGCCCTGAGCTTTGGGATCAGGACATTTTGCTTGGACCGATCTACCCCGCATCATGTGGGAGCCTCTCCTTCCTCACGTGTGTACTGCCAGCTGACAGGCCTGTCCCCCAGCAATGTAAGCAGAAAGAGGGGTTGACGGATATAAAAAGCTGAAATAGAGCTTTGCCGACACAGAAGTCATTTTAGGCCCTCCTGACACTACTTACCCAAGTGCACCTCCTTCAGAATTTCCTAGGAGGTGTTAGAATTACAAAGGAATGCAAAAACCTCAGAAGTTAAGGATTTTATGGAAACAAATCGTCTTTGCTGAGCCAGAGAATAGCCTAACCTTATCAGAGACAATAAATCAATGCCAAAGCTCCCAGCGCTGTTTCAAAAGCAAAGACTGACCTCATGCACATGGTTGGGCTGTTCTTTGCTAGATTGAAACCCTTTGAGCACTCAAATTCCGGGCTAATTGGAGCCAGAGAACTGACGATGCCCACCCTTGCTGACCCTCAAGACTTCAATCAACTAGGACCTGGACTGCGTCGACTCAGGATGACCTTTGACCCAATTCATAATGAATTTGCCTTTGCAGAGCCCCTTCATGAATATGCATGTATCATTAGCTTAAAACCTCCTCACTTTTCTTGTTCGGGGAGACACTACTTTGGGAAACATCCCTGGTGTTCTCCTTTACTCGCAAATAAAATCCTTCCTTTTCCTATTCTTTGCAGTCAAATGCTCTACCCCTGAGCTATACCCCCTACTTTTCCTATTCTTTGGCTCGGTTGTGTCTTTTCACTGAACACCCACCAAGAGGAGACCCCAGTTTGGGGTAACAGCAGGGCCCTGGACATTTCTGCATTGCCAGGGGAGCGATCCCGGCGGGCGGATCCGTAGTCCTGCTCTTCTACTTCTTTTCCCAAAAAGGCAGCTGAGAGCGAATTCTGAACTCGCTGCCAGTCCAGAAGCCCCCCCACCCCGGAAAGAGTGTAGCCGAAGAGGCCGCAGAGTTCACGGAGTCCCACCCACCAGAGGGAGATGTCCAGGTGCAGAGTCCGCAGGCGCGCTTGCTCCTAGCTTCCCACCTCGTCGGCCTGCACACACCCGTGCCCACTAACCGAATTCCGACCCCTATCTTAATTGTCCTTCCACACTTGTCCCAGTTCCGCGGTTCCACAAGTTACTTGGCCAGCCGCCGCCGGGGTTGGGCAGCTATGCTGAGAACCCGGAAGGCAGACAGGCCGTGCCCTTCCCTCCAGTAGGTCTCTGATTTCTCCAAGAACGTGCTGGGACTGGGAGGAACCGATCCAGACAACTGGCTTTCTAGTTTCCTCCTAGCCCAAGACTCAGAGGTTATGCAGCAAGAGGTGAGGGAGAGCAACGCGCAAACGCTCCACAATAGGGAATTCTAGAAAATCAGCAGGAAAAAACGGTGAGGATGTTTACTTACGAGAATACGCGGGCTCCACTACCTAGACACAGAACGTGTTTGAGGTTGTGCAGCGGACCTTCCACCTTAAATCCAGGCGTGTCCCGGGAGGGGGTGGGGCTTCCTGCAGGGGCGGAGCTGCTCCTGCAAGAGTGGTGGAGCCCGGGCCCGCAGAGGGCTTCGGAAGGGAAAGCCAGGATTACCCACAAGTGTGTGTGTAGGGCGTGATTCCAATGATAATGGCCTCTATTGGAGCCCTGCCCAGGTGGAACTGTGCTTCCACTAGCGTCCTAAGTGGCAATCCGGTGGAAAGACTCCGTTTAGAAGTACGAGCCTTGGCGTCCACCGTTCAGGAAGGAAAGAGCCAAACGCAGGGTCCCCCGGCGGCCGCAGCCCAGGTCTGGCCGAGTGCTGCTTTCGATCCGCAGGATCCTCCTCAGATCACAGCTTGCCTGGTGTCCACACCTCCACCCCGTGCCCAGTCCCCAAGTCTCCCTAATGAACACCTGTTTACCTTTCACAAGTCGATACAAAGGTCCCAACGTCTGTGAGCTGTGGTCAGATTCCCCCAGGCAGGAGTGAGTGCTCTTCACTGAGGCGACCTCCGAGTCAGAACATCTAGCCCTTCACAGGGCCTTTCTGGGACTCGGGGAGGAGAGGAGAGGTGGTCTAAGGGAGGGAATGTACACAAAGCCAAAGTGCTGGTTTGGGCTACCCTGATTCGAAGCTGGTGTGTCTCCCTTTTCCTAGTGGTGCAGCTTTGAGGGAGTTCCTCAGCCTCTTCCTGCCTAAATTCACCCCTCTGCAAAATGGGGATAAGACAGTGCTTTATGGGGGCTCCCCCTAGCTGCCCACCCCGCAAAGCCTTCGACTCTTGATCTTGGGTCTGAGTTCCAGCCCCATGTTGGGTGTTTAAAAAAATAAATAAGACATTAAAAGAAAAATAGTGCTTTATGAACATTAAATATCTTCTCTCCCCCGTTTCTTTTTTCTTTTAGAGAGAGAGCTCACCAGTGGGGGAAAGGATCCCAAGCAGGCTCCGTGCTGAGCAGGGGCTGGATCACGTGATCCTGGGATCTTACCTAAGGGGAAATCAAGGGTCCAGAGCTCAACAGATGGAGCCACCCACGCACCCCTTACGTGTCTTTTTAAAGAACAAAATGAGTTCATAAAGCTCAAGTGCTTAGAGATTACCACACAGGTGTGTGGTAAACGCAATAAACCTAGCTCCCAGTAACAAAATCTTTGGACTTCCCCGTTGACCCTAAGTCAGTCCCAGGAGCCCCACATTGTGTCTGATTCAATCATGTATCCCCATCTTCTAGCCCAATTCTTGCCAGCCATGTCATGTAAATAGTGAAACAATGCAAAGATGTTTAAGGAATTTTAAAACTACCCCTTAATTTCCTCCATTACCCTCTCACTAAGCTAACTCATGTTACCAGTGCAGTATTTACCTTTCATTCCCTTCTCTGTAGCCAGGCAGACATATACATAGAGAAGACGTTTTCCCCTGTTTTGACATCACTGGGATCATTGTCAACATGGTACTCTGTATCTTTTTTCCTTTTTCTTTTTTTTCCTTCTGCATCTTTTTTTCTTTTTTTTTTCTGATTTAACATCAGGGACCTGTCTCCAAGTAAAGAGATACAGATATAACTCATTACTGAAATAGTTCTTAGATAATATTTCATACTTTGGGTGTATGATACTTTATTCCTCAATGTTGAGATTTTTTTTTTTTTGAAATGGTTTCTAATCTTGCTTTGCTTTGTCACTATCAACAGTGTTGCAATAAATGCCTATGTAGGAAGAGCTTTATATTATAATGATTTTATCCTTATAGGCTAGTTTCCCAAAACTGAGATTGTTAGGTCAAAGAATATGTGTTTTTAAATTTTTTAAAAATGTTTTTATTTATTTTTGAGAGAGAGACAGAGCACAAGCAGAGGAGGGGCAGAGAGAGAGGGAGACAGAATCTGAAGCAGGCTCCAGGCTCTGAGCTGTCAGCACACAGCCAGATGCGGGGCTCGAACTCATGAACCATGAGATCATGACCTGAGGTGAAGTCAGAAGCTCAACCAACTGAGCCACCCAGGCACTCCAAAGAATATGTGTTTTTTATATATTGAGTTGAATCACATGAAACTATTGATACTCAACCACTGTGACCTAAAGAAATCACAATTTCAAAAGGTTAAGCCTAATAACCTTGTTTTCCAAAAATAAATAGCAATTTACATTCCTCTCTTTAAAAAAAAATGTTTATTTATTTATTTTTGAGAGAGCATGTGCGCATGAGCTTGGGGGAGGGGCAGAGAGCGAGGAGAGAGAAAATCCCAAGCAGGCCCCATGCCCTCAGTGCAGAGCCCAACTCGGGCTGATCTGCATGACTGTGAGATCATGAGACTTTGATCTCATGACTGTGAGATCATGACCTCAGCCAAAATCAAGAGTTGCCACCGAGATGCCCCAGCAATTTACATTCCTACCATCAATGTATGTGAGCTTCTGTTACCTAAAGCCAATAATCAGGACTGGTGTTATTGTTGTATTCACTTTTTGCCAAACTGATCAGTGCAAATGAATTTATGCCCACAAACGGCTGAGATCTGATTTTATTCACATTTGTACCCTTGTACCTACCTGTAGTATCATTTAGAATATTTTTTCTTCCAAGTTACAGAGGACTCACTCACATTGGCTTAAAAAATATGGCTCATGCGACTGAAAAGTGCAGAAGTAGAATGGGCTTCAGGGTTGGTCTGAATCAAGACCTGGCATATTTCATCCTTACCTACAGCTTTATGTGGCATCAGCATAATCCTAAAGCTTGCTTCCCTTATGGTAACAGAATGGCTGCAGCAGCTCCACTAACCTAAAGGAAAGAAAAATACCATGTCACAAAATTCCTAGCCAGAGTCCTCTACCTCTCATTGACTGAAATGTCTCTAAACCAATCTCTG